GCAGTCCCCGCTGCCCATTGGAATTCTGGGTCGAGCCCCCAATGCCTTCTGGGTAAAAAAATGTGGCGAGGGTGCTTTTGGGTAACTGTCGTCATCCGTCAGTCACTACCGCCCTCCCTCCCTCCCTGAAAGCGCCGGCGGGAAATCAGTTCGCGCACTTTTAGATCAGTGACAGCGCGGACGCCACAGCACTGCGATCATGGATCCCGCTGCGACCATCGCTGCAGTTGTGGCCGTTCTCAACGCCTCGCAGCTTATCATACACCTTTCCCTGAGGCAGATGCAGAGAAATCAGGCGAGGAGGCTACGGCACCGCCGTGAGGGCCTGAAGTCGGAGAGTAGCACAGAGCTGTCAGAAACCACGAGCCCCAGCGCCCAGGACATCACGGTGGCAATGGGGCATGTGGATTTTGTTGAACGGCGATTCTGGGCCCGGGAAACAAGCACGGACTGGTGGGACCGCATAGTGCTTCAGGTCTGGGATGAATCCCAGTGGCTGCGAAACTTTCGCATGCGGAAGGGGACTTTCCTGGAACTTTGTGACTTGCTGTCCCCTGCCCTGAAGCGCAAGGACACCCGCATGCGAGCAGCCCTGACTGTCCAGAAGCGAGTGGCCATAGCCCTCTGGAAGCTTGCAACGCCGGACAGCTACCGGTCAGTCGCGAACCACTTTGGCGTGGGCAAATCTACCGTGGGGGTTGTTGTCCTGCAAGTAGCCAAGGCAATCATCAAGGTACTGCTGTCAAAGGTAGTGACCCTGGGAAACGCGCAGGCCATCATAGATGGCTTTGCCGCGATGGGATTCCCAAACTGCGGTGGGGCTATAGATGGGACTCACATCCCTATCCTGGGACCGGGCCACCAGGCCAGCCAGTACATCAACCGAAAGGGCTACTTTTCAATGGTGCTGCAAGCACTGGTGGACCATCGGGGACGGTTTACAAACATCTACGTCGGATGGCCGGGCAAGGTTCATGACGCTCGGGTTTTCAGGAACTCTGGTCTGTTTAGACGGCTGCAGGAAGGTATTTACTTCCCGGACCACAAGATAACTGTTGGGGATGTGGAGATGCCTACAGTGATCCTCGGGGACCCAGCCTACCCGCTAATGCCCTGGCTCATGAAGCCCTATACTGGCGCCCTGGACACTGAAAAAGAACTCTTCAACTACCGCCTGAGCAAGTGCAGAATGGTGGTGGAGTGTGCTTTTGGCCGTCTCAAGGGGAGATGGAGAAGCTTACTGACTCGCTGTGATCTCAGCGAAACCAATATCCCCATCGTTATTGCAGCTTGCTGTGTGCTCCACAATCTGTGTGAGAGCAAGGGGGAGACCTTTATGGCGGGGTGGGAGGTTGAGGCAAATAGCCTGGCTGCTGATTACGCCCAGCCAGACAGCCGGGCGATTAGAAGAGCCCAGCGGGACGCGCTGTGCATCCGGGAGGCTTTGAAAGCCAGTTTCAAGGCTGAGCAGGGTACCCAGTGACTTTTAAGTTTGTGGACACAGAAGCAGAACTTGCCCCCGTTTCTTTACCCAGTTGCCGTCGACTATCCTCTCCAATCACATACCCCCTTCACCCCCTTCCCAAAAAATAAAATCTGTTCTGTTTTGTTAATGGACACCATTGTCTTTATTACTGTTTTCGCGGGAATGTTTTAAACCTGGGACGCAGACTGTGGCGGGGGGCGGGTTTAGTGTTGTGATGCAAATGATGCTTCTAAACTCCAGGAATGACAGGCTCCGCGGTGGTGGACTGGTTGTTTCAACGGAGCCTGCCAGCCCTCCTGGCCGGGACTGCGTGTATGTGTCGGCTATGTGACTGTCTTGCAGGGGGAGGAGGGTTACAGATCCCCTGCTGCGCGGCTCTGTGATCCAGGGTAAGGACCGCTGCATAAGATCTGTAACTGCCCTCCCCCGCCACCAAGTCACAGAGCAACACCACCCCCCCCACCACACAGAACATGAAAACCACCTCCCAGACTGACCAGGATAACTAGTCACTGCACTGTATATGTGCCCTGCTGCTGCACCTGCCCCCTGCTAAAGGTGACTGTCCTGTCCAATGACCAAACCCCTTGCCCCCCTTCAGACAGACTCCCCTCCAAAAGAAGAGGATGGAAACAGAAATGAACAGAAACGTATTCTTTATTAACAACCGCACATGGAACGGGGGGGTGAAACTTGGACGGGGTCTTGTGTGAGGCGGGTAGGAAAGGACTTTTCAAATTTTGGGGAATGAGAGCCTTCTAGTGGTAGAGCAGTCCGCAGGGGTGGAGTGAAATTTTTCACGGCCCCTTCCACCCCTCCGTGTTTGGACTTTGGGTGAGGGGGGTATGGGACTTGGTGGCGGGGCAGGGCAGTTACAGAGAGACTGCAGTGGGGCTCTCTCCTCCTGCCTCCGGTCCTGCAGAACATCCACAAGGCGGCGGAGCGTGTCCGTTTGCTCCCTCATTAGTCCAAGCAGCGTTTGAGTAGCCTGCCTGTCCTCCTGTCGCCACCTCTCCTCCCGTTCAATGTTTGCCCGGTGCATTTGGGACAAGTTCTCCCTCCACTGTGTCTGCTGGGCTGCCTGTGCTCGGGAGCATCCCATTAGTTCAGCAAACATGTCTTCCCGTGTCCTCTTCTTCCTCCTCCTAATGTGCGCTAGCCTCTGGGCAGATGTGGCTGTGGGAATTGGAAAAAGGGAGTGAATTCCTGAGACAGAGCAATGTATCTGTGAACAGAGAACATAGTCTTTCTCTGTGAACAAGACCATGCAGAGCACCTATCACACGCGCACTGAGGACAAGGTCGAATTTTCGGCCCTCGCCTACCGTGCCTGCGGTCTTGCTGTGGCGAGCTGAGGAGCAGGGCTGGACACCGGACTTTGTCTAGCTGGCAAACATGGTAAGCCGTAGACTTGTGGCCGCTTAAAACTTTAAGAGTGGCACTGGCCTCCTTTCACATAGAAAGCAATGCGAGTCTCTGCTGGCAGCAATCCTGCAAGCATGAACTCTGGCCCTGTCCCACCCCCTCGCGGCTGTAAACCGCATGGCTGTAAACGGGCGGTTGCAGTTCTGTAAAGGGACGGGCAAGCAGTCCCAATACTAACTTTCCCCTACCTAATTCACAGCAGGGAGTCATGCCAGACATCACCCTCCTGAAGGTCTCGGAGAGCCAGAAGGAGAAGATGCTCCGGGACAGCCTGCAGAAACCGGGGCCATTTGCTGCGCTGCTCTGCAAGGCCATGATCCCGGAGTACCTGCTGGCGTTGTGGCAGGGAAACGTGTCCTACCACGGGGGGCCTAATAAGCTCTCCCTGCCCAGGAACCTGCTGATGAGGCTGGAAAAACACCTGCAGGAGGTGTATGAGGAGTTCTCCCCGGAGGATGTCGCCTCTATCCCCGGTTACATTGACCAGTTCTTGGCTTAGGTGCCCTTGGAGGGACAAATGACTGCAGGGTTTTGGGCACTATAATCATGAAGCGGACATTGTGCAATTTTTTGAAAATGGTTCGGACTATATATTGAGGCGCCCAAAGACAGACTAATCATGACACACTTTGCACTGATTCCCCTTTTGTTTGACTTTCCTGTTTACATGTTTTGAAGCACTTTACCCACTGTTAATATTTTCAATCTTCCTGTTTTGTTGCAAATAAATGTTTACATGTTTTAAAGCACTTTAGCTACTGTTAATATTTTAAATATGCCAGTTATGTTGTAAATAAATGTTTAGATATTTAAAACACTTACTGCTTGATCCTTCCCCTGAATCTGTGTCTGGGGTAACGGCGGGGGACGGTTGGTAGGGGATCTCTGTCAGGGTGATGAAGAGCTCCTGGCTGTCGGGGAAATCAGCGGTGCCAGCGCTGTCGACTGCCTCGTCCTCCTCATCTCCTTCTTCATCTTCCCCGTCCGCTAACATGTCGGAGGAACCGGCCGCGGACAATATCCCATCCTCAGAGTCCACGGTCAGGGGTGGGGTAGTGGTGGCGGCCGCACCTAGGATGGAATGCAGTGCCTCGTAGAAACGGGATGTGTGGGGCTGGGATCCAGAGCGTCCGTTTGCCTCTTTGGTCTTCTGGTAGCCTTGTCTCAGCTCCTTGATTTTCACGCGGCACTGCGTTGCATCCCGGCTGTAGCCTCTCTCTGCCATGGCTTTAGAGATCTTCTCATAGGTCTTTGCATTCCGTCTTTTGGAGCGCAGCTCGGAAAGCACGGACTCATCTCCCCACACAGCGATGAGATCCAAGACTTCCCGATCCGTCCATGCTGGGGCCCTCTTTCTATTGGATTGCACGGCCATCTCTGCTGGAGAGCTCTGCATCGTTGCCACTGCTGCCACTGCTGCTGAGCTCGCCACGGTGTCCAAACAGAAACTGCGCTTCAAACTGCCCAGACAGGAAAAGGAATTCAAATTTTCCCGGGGTGTGGCTGGTCAGAGCATCCGAGCTCGGACTGCTGTCCAGAGCGTCAACAGAGTGGTGCACTGTGGGATAGCTCCCGGAGCTATTAGCGTCGATTTCCATCCACACCTAGCCTAATTCGATATGGCCATTTTGAATTTAGCGCTACTCCTCTCGTTGGGGAGGATTACAGAAATCGATTTAAAGAGAGCTCTATGTCGAACTAAATGGCTTCCTGGTGTGGACGGGTGCAGGGTTAATTCGATATAACGGCGCTAAATTCGACATAAAAGCCTAGTGTAGACCAGGCCTAAGTAAAAACCCTGCCCTCCAAGGACCAAGAGTGGAATGATGGGAAGAGGGGATGAGGCCTCTTAGATATTAGATTAGCAATAATCTAATATCATGGAAATAAAAGCCACCAATTGCACTAACCATCCTAACTCAATCCCATGTTCCCTTTCCTGGTGCTTCCCTTCAGCTCCTAGCTTCCACTTCTTCCATGCCTGTGCAGCCACTCATCACTTCCACCTCCAGCACTCAGCCACCAATCCCAGCATGCTCCCACAGTGCCCCAACCCCTTGCCCTGTGGAGGGATGACAGAAGAGCTCACAGGCGCTCCCTCTCCCGAAGGATCCTCTCCATCTCCAGCTGTTGCTCCTCCTTCTCCCCTTGAGCCAAATCTTCCTTCAGTTGTAGCTCAGTGTTGCTTCGGCGCAATCGCCAGGCCTCCTGCTCAGACACCTCCAGTTGTTGCTGCAGCTCTTCCCTGGCCTTCTCCAGGTTCACACGGTCACTGCAAAGAGGCAGGGCCCAGTAAGCAGAATGAGGAGAATCTAGCATGAGCAGCCCCATCCGCACCAGTGAGGATGGAATGGGAGGGGGGGGGTTAGAAGTGCTTGCTGCATGTGAACCTCTTTTCCTCTCCTGGCAGCTGAGGTGGGGGAAAAGGGGCTGGGAAGGCTGTTGCTCTCACTCAGTGGGAAGCAGTGCTCAGCAGAGGGCCTCTCTACAACCTGGGGATGCAGGATGCACCATGGGAGCTTAATTTAGGGGTGGCAGAGGTTGGACTGGACACACACTATACTCGGGCAGCTCTCCAATTTCCTCAGGCAGCCTGGACATGGGGCGGTGGCTAGGAACATTAATTGCTGGTGACAGGGAAAGAGTAACCTGAGAAGCAGAGCCAGACTTACTATGGAACAGGAGCGTTCTTAGCCCCCAACACTCTGCTACTGAAGTCCCTATACGATGTGGAGGAAGGACATAGGGCTGACCTGCTGAGAGTTTCCACCAGGGACTGGAGGTGCTGCGTCTGGCCGGTGAGTGTCTTGCAGTTCTCTTCCAGCTGCTGGAGCCTCTGCCTCAGCATCTTGCATTCCTCTTCCTGCTGCCTTTGCTGATGTTGCAGAGAATGGACAGAGTCTTGGCTGTCTGAAAGCTGCTCCCTTAGGGCCTGCCAGGGGAAGAGGCAGAATGAGTGCATGAGCCGAATGGGGCTGAGAAGATGGGCCCAGGCGGACCAGCTAGGAGGAGGTCAACAGTTAGGCCTGAGGGCAACAGCAGCTGAAGAGTGTAGGGAGATAGTTCAAACATGAGTCAGCTGGGAGAGTCAGGAGAGGAGCAGATCATCTGAGGGCAAAAGATGTGATCCAGTGTGGGAGGGTGCTCAGGTGGGAGGGGGAATTACAGAGAAAGTGGGGGCAGAGAAAAGGCAGTCTTAGTGTGGAGAGAAGGATGGCTGGAGGGCAGAAGTAAGTGGAGGGGGAAAGGCTGGATGAGGCATAGGCATTTGAGAGAGTGGGCTGGCAGTGGGGTTGGGGAAATTGCTGCCAGTGTAAAGAGAGTCCTGCACCAAATCCCTCTCACCTGTACTGCCTGGCACTTCCTTGACAATGCTTCGTGCACCAGAACAAGGGCCCTTTCCATGTCACTGGAACTCAGCAGGGAGGAAAGGTTGCTGGATTCAGGATGCTGGGAGCTCTCAACCCATGAGATGCTGACTGCGTTGTCAGTATCGTCTAGCACTGCCTGAAACCCCAGACCAAGCTGTTACTCCTTCCCTCCTACCACTCACTCTTATTTACCTATTTCTCCCTCCTCCTCCATGCCACCCTTCAGTCAGAGGTTACAGGCTATCTGACTTAAGGCAATAGGGAAGATTGGTTCTGGTGGCTATGACCTCCTGCATTTCAGGTATGGGTGATTCCAGAATAATGCAGAACAGGAGAAAAACCATGGGGCAGGAATGGATGTTACGTTTGTACTCCCTCTATTCTAGGCCTTCTGGGGGCTTACTTTAACCAGTGCTCAGTTTCTTGTGGCCCTCAGGCACCGTTTCTGCCTCCTTTAAGGCTTCTTTATGCAGTCAGAGTGATATAAAAAGCTTTAATGTAACAGAATCAGGCCTCTAGTGACCAATAGCCATGAAAAGTAGTATTAAAACTCCCCAGAGGAGAAAGCAGCTGCTGAATTCTGAAGAATATGATAATAGAAGAGCAACTGATTATAATTCCTCTGAAACAGTAGCATGAAAGGAGCAAGAATTGGCCAAAGAAGCTTCATGAGGGTCTATGCAAAGATCTGAGGTTAAAATTCCTGTCCTGGGAATGGAGAAAGGGAGGCAACCTAAGAGGAACAGTCCGTCAACTAAAGAATGAGTTAATGTTACCAGCACATGCAAAGGAAACATGGAGGACTTGTACAGATGTGCAGGGAAAGAAGAATTACTCATCAGCACATCAGATTGACTGAAAAATACAAGTGAAAAGACATTTAAACTTAAATGGATTAAATGAACAAACAGACAGAACAATGATGACTCGCCTCTCACATCATGCATGTGGACCATGCAGCTAACACTAAGGTTGCCCAGTTAAAGGTCACAATCAGGAAAGGAAGTCCAGGAGGCATGTGGGTAAGGAACCCCAAACAGACAGAAGTTCTAAGACTTTGTCAAAGTGCTCTTGGGCAGACAGCCAGGGAGCTAGTAACAAAGGGCTCTGGAAGTACCAGAAAAAGAGTGGTGTGTTACAGGGTCCCTGTGAGCAGACCAGAGCCAACTTCCCTGTGTCAGAGCAGGTGGGCCCAATGAAAAGGGGAAGGGCTACACCTGGGGCTATAAAGACCTGTTAGAGGGCAGGACAGAGAGGAGTGATTGGGGCAGGCTGTGCCTGGGGAAAGATTCCCCCAGAGGAGTGGAGTTAACGCCTGTGGTAGGTCCCTGGAGCAAGGGCCAGGTTCCCAGGAAGGAGCCCTAGAGCCGGTGTTCTAGAAAGGGAGCAGAGTGGGCTGGGACTGGGAAGCTGCAAATAGCAGGATTGTCAGAGATCCCTGGGAGTGGGGTCATGAAGCCCTACCACAACAGGGTAAGCAAAGGGACTGTTTGTGTTTGTTTTATTTCCTTATGTTTGTACAATAAATCTTAAAGGAGACTGGGCATGGCAGTATATGCTTGGAAGTTGGGGAGAAGCCCTGTCATGTCACATGGTGTTAAACTTAAGAGCCAGAAGTAGTCAAGCTGCTGACAGAGTGACAGGAGAGGCCATGGCAAAAGGGAACACAGTGGGGTTGGGACATGAAATAAGTGCCAGCATCCTGTTTCAGGGCCCACATCTAGGGCTTCTGAGACAGGCTGGGAGGAAGTTCTCTTTCACTTCCTGAATCCTGGAAGGGGCTGCTCAGATGATCCTGGTAGGGCTGTGGCCCAGAATGAGAGCCAGTTATGTAGTGCTGTATAGGGAGAAGAAAATAATGTCCCTCCTGACCCCTGCAGCAATCAGGCAAGGCTCTGAAGTAGGAGATTTGATTACTCTTATATTGGGATTTCTAACAAGTGTTATTGGTCATAAAAAATAAATAGAGCCACCATATTTGATCTAGTAACCTGCAGTACATTTCCCAGGCAGACTTTGTTGTGTGCAGCACCATTTACTTTCATTTGTTCTATATTCACTGCACCCTAACCTCAGCAAAGGACCCTCCCTTATTCTTCTGCCATGGGACAGTGAAGATCTATAATCTGGATAATAATACTCAGCATTTCTTTAGTGATTTTCTTTTGGTGATCTCACATGGCTTTACGAAGGAAGGCAAGTGTTATTTCCACTTTACAGATGCGAGATGAAAGCGATATCTTTATTGAGACATCCTGGTTTGAAAACTAACCTAATTTTTCATTTAAATCATTTGAAAGCAGCACTTGCTCAGCCCTTCTCAAAAGCAGGCCACTTTCATTTAGGAGTCTTAGTATGAATTCAGGAAATTAACTTTAGGCACCCAACTCTGAGAATTCTGGCCAAAGTCACTTGGCCAAAGTCACAGAGTAAAGCAGAAATAGAATCTCTAGTTCCAAGCTGCAGTCTAGTTCCCTAGCCACTGGACACTGTCAGTTCCCTTCCTACACTTGTTCATCCAATCTAAATAATGCCAGTTTTACAGTCGATTAATCATGAATTTAAGGCCAGATGGGAACATTATGATCTACCCTGATCTCCTGCATACATGGGCCAGAAAATTTCATCCAATAATTCCTGCATCAGACCCATAACTTCTGGTTATGGTAGATCTGATCTTTTACAAAATACATCCTGATCTTGAATTAAAGATTTCAGGTGATGAAGAATCCATAATATGCCTGAGTAATTATAGCAGAGCAGTAGCTCCACTATAGTAACGGTTGAGACTCACTGTTTAGCAGACTACTTTTCCATATAGTCTAAACGCCACATACTGAATCAGATTGTCCTGACATTTGCTGTGCTTCATGGGTGGCGTGAGTGGACCAAATCTGGGTTCACTTGAGCAACACATTCCTGAGAAAAAGCCATGTGATATCAAAATCCTCTTTTTTTTTTTTTTTTTTTTTTCCTGCCCACCACACACCTGGGTCTCAAACTATGCCCAAACTGATATCACCTGCTCAGGGTTGAGCTCAGCTAGCACACAGCCCCTTTCCCTTTGGGGAAGCAATACTGAAAGAGTTTGAGTAAAGTTGGGAACTCCAATATGAGTTAACCATAACTGACATGTTAAAGAGAGTGAAATGTGCATATGTAGAAAGGCTAAGGCTGTGTTGCCAAGTCAGTTTAACTGGGTGGCCCAAAGTGACGTGATGTGGCCACTGAACTTGAGCAGCACAGTGAGTTTGAGTCCTAAATTCACACCTCTCTGAACTATTATTTCAGGCGGTATTCATCTCCATGGGGTATTCTCATCCATCTGAGAACATCTCATTGACATCAATGGGGCATGTCACTCCTCTCTGAGGGTACGTCTATACTTACCTCCGGGTTTGGCGGTAAGCAATCGATCTTCTGGGATCGATTTATCGTGTCTAGACAAGACGCGATAAATCGATCCCGGAAGTGCTCGCTGTCGACGCCGGTACTCCTGCTCCGCGAGAGGAGTACGCGGAGTCGACGGGGGAGCCTGCCTGCTGCGTGTGGACCCGCGGTAAGTACTTTGTAGTTCGAACCAAGGTACTTCGACTTCAGCTACGTTATTCATGTAGCTGAAGTTGCGTATCTTAGTTCGAACTGGGGGGTTAGTGTGGACCAGCCCTGAGCCTCCTCTGGTGCATGCGTGTGTGTAGAAACCCATGCCCACACACTACGTACAGATCTGGGGTAGGGATTCTGGATCTCAACTCACCTTACTGCCCCTTCTTGTCTCATAAGAACAGCCATACTGGGTCAGACCAAAGGTCCATCTAGCCCAGTATCCTGTCTTCCAACTGTGGCCAATGCCAGGTGCTTCAGAGGGAATGAATAGAACAGGTTGAATAGAAGAGGTATCCATCCCCTGTTGCCCATTACCAGCTTCTAGCAAACAGAGGCTATGGATACCATCCCTGCCCATCCTGGCTAATAGCCATTGATGGACCTATCCAGCTATTACATGCACTTCTAAGATCCCATTACCTGCCCTCCTCTCCAAGGCACCTCTAAGCTTACCCAGGACATGTGGTGGCAAGGAAGAGGGTGGAGCTAGCAGGCGGTGGCAGCCTCGGGGCAGTGAGGGTGTGGGGAGGATGGTCAGAGAAATGGATGAGCTGGAGGCATTGGAGCAGTATGAAGGGTGTAAGGGACCATCCAAACACTGTTTTTCAAAACCCAGTTTAATGACTAGCGCTTTGGAGAGGGAGGGCTGGGCTGGGCTGGGCTGGAGAGGCAAAGAGATGAGATGAGATAATGCAGGAGCAGTGAAGGCATTAAAATACAGCCAGTGCATTCTGTGGCCGGGGCAATTGTTGCCAAGGAGTCAGAGGCCGTGGAACGTGGGGATGCCAATTTTATTTTTTTTAACTAACTGCCCAAAAACATCATCAACACAGAGTTAAGGTTGCCCTTGTGCCCTTCAAAAATATGAAGAGAAGCTAAACTTAAACATCTGAAAACCAGGAAATAAAAGGTTAAGGATACATATTACTCCTGCAACACGTTATGTGAGTGGTGCATAGCACCCAGTCAGAAGCATCAGGTTTTGGCCACTACTGGATGCAGCATGCTAGGCTGCTCCTGTATGAAAATTACTAGTTTTCTTTTATTCCTTTATTCAGGAAGTTATTAAGGCAGAAGGTTAAGCAAGTGTTTCAGCAAAGCCAGGATAAGGTTAAAAAAAATGCTGGTAATGTTCCAAAAAGACATGACTTGACCCCTACATTCCTTCTCAGACAAAACTCCTAGTGATTTCAATGTTTGCCTGAGTAGGGTCTAAGCAAAGTCTACAGGATCTGGCCCACAGTGAGAGACAATTTACAGGCAAGTGAGATGTGAGAAGTTAGATTTTCCAAGTCAAGAGCTCTTCCGAGATTTCTGGCCTTTGGACATGTACATATATATCGTGCACTTCCCATGCCTTTCCCAGATATTTCTGTAGCAGAACATGTTATTTACCTGAGTTATGTCTTTTAGCACCTGATGAAGGGAAAGGGTCTCTTCTTTGGCATTCTGGGTCAGTGAAGCTTTATATTCTACCTCCAACCGACTGGCCTCCTAGAAACAGAATAAAGAAAGGATGAGTTGGAGCATTCCCATCTCCCCTAGCACTGACTTGCCACTGTGCCTCAGCTCCAAACTGAAGGGCCAGCTCTAGGCACTCTTCATGGCCCATTCAATCCTTATCTTCTCTGCTGAAACTAACGAGGACACCAACTTCAATGTGAACACCTGATAACTCTGAATGAGATAGGCCAACAAATCATTCGGGATAAACTGAGAAGCTGTCACACGCTGACAGTCTTTGGTCACTGGTGACCTAACTGGATTACAAGTGCCTGAGGTGCAATGTTCTGTTACAAGCTCTCCGATGCTGGATTAGATGTGCACGCAGTTCCCCTGCCACTGCCCAGCCTTCAGTTGCCAACCACGAAACACACATTTAGACAAAGTGCCTTATGTTCCCATATAGGGAGGAAGCCACAGCTCTTTGTGGTGAGGCTGGGAAGAAAAAAAAAAGCTCAAACCCAATAGCTGTTGGGTTGCTTTCCCACAGATTTCTCACACACCAGAATTTCCATCGTGTCACTAAGCGTCTTCACGGTCTTTTCTTTCTCCTCATTCTGCTTCTGGGACTGCGCCAGCAAGGCTGAGAGTTCCATCACCCTGAGAAGAAAAAGTCTGTGCAATATTCCAAAAGCTTAGCACACCATCAGCTGCATAGGAACTATGTCTGAAAGTCTGTGCAGCACCTCCATGAGATACACCACAGAAGACTCAGCCCAGAGGGAGGGGACAGAGATGGCTTTAAGCCACCTTTGGGCCTTCAGGATTCTGAGGTGCTCTGTGGTTCTGGTATGGAGGGCTGACTACGGGCTGTGTCACAGTCCAGGAACCTTGTAACGTTGAGCACTGTGTAGATGACCCCAACACATCCCTGCACCTGAGCTTGCAAGGGGGCAGTATAACTGGCAGCCCCATGCAGCATCTGCACTGTGGGGATTCTCTCTCCAGCCCCTTGCAGCATAGTCTGGTTATCATAGCATTGCACTGGGGTGGGGGACAGAACTGGTCCCTTTATACTGCTCAGCATTTCTCTCCAACTACATTACAATAGAACCTCAGAGTTACGAACACCTCGGGAATGGAGGTTGTTCGTAACTCTAAAATGTTTGTAACTCTGAACAAAACGTTATGGTTGTTCTTTCAAAAGTTTACAACTGAACATTGACTTAACACAGCTTTGAAACTTTACTATGCAAAATAAAAATGATGCTTTTAACCATCTTGCTTTAAATGAAACAAGCACAGAAACAGTTTCCTTGCTTTGTCAGATCTTTTCTTTAAACTTTCCCTTTATTTTTTTAGTAGTTTACGTTTAACACAATTCTGTACTGTTTCCTTTTTTCTTTTTATGGTCTCTGCTGCTGCTTGACTGCATACCTCCGGTTCCAAATGAGCTGTGTGCTTGACCAGTCAGTACGTAACTCTGGTGTTCGTAACTCTTAAGGTTCTATTGTAACCGTAAACCCAACTCTGCCGCCTACCCTCCAAGAAAACCCCTTTCCACACACACCATTACTCCCAACTTCATCTCACTCAGAGACAGGGTGACCAGACAGCAAGTGTGAAAAATCAGGACAGGGGGTGGGGGGTAATAGGTACCTATATAAGACGAAGCCCCAAATATCGGGACTGTCCCTATAAAATCGGGACATCTGGTCACCCTACTCAGAGATCCCATTTTCTTTATTCAGGCGCCTCTCTGCCTATTTCTTTTTAAAGCCAACAGTAGATACCATTTCGAAAAACAAGCCCGGTATGAAGTGGCTGTGCTTTGAAGGAGAATGCAGATTGAATCCAAAGGCCTCTGTGATAAATGGTGGGAAACATTCCCCAAAGGTTGTGTAGGGTTTTTAAGACTAATTTACCTGCCCTGAAGCTCCTCTTTCTCTATATCCCCTTTGACCTGCAAGCACATCACTTCTTGGGTTTTCTGGTATACTTCCTTTTCCAGCTCCTGAGCCCTGGCACAAAGCTGCTGTGTCTGATCCCTCGGGGCAGATCTTTCCAAAGTGTTCGACTCCCAGTGCCGTGTACCAGAACTTAGATGGAAGCAGCTGACAAGTATTGATCCAGAAAGTCTTATCTGGTCTGCCTTCAGTGCTGACAAGTCCCTGAAGCAGAATAAAATAGTAAAATAGATCCTCAAGAACACTTTCATCTGCAAATTCACCTTTTAAACATGTCTCAGCATGACAATTACAACCCATTGTTGAGGATCAGTCGTAACATTTTCCAAAGATGTTCAGCCATCTCAGATACTTAGAGGATCAGTGATCTGGTTTGTAATCAACTAAGGAAGAAGAAGGATGTTTCAGTGGTTACAGTGCTAGTCTAGGACTAGGGAGATCCAGCTTTAATTCCCAGCTGTGCCACAGACTTCCTGTGTCTCAATTCCCCATCTCCAAAATGGGGATAAAGCACTTCTCTACCTCACAGGAGTGTTGTAAAGAAAAATACATTAAAATTGTGAAACATTCAGACAGGGCCAGATAAGTATCTAAGGGCTTGCATGCAATTTCTTTTTGCACAACCCCCACTCCTCCAAAAAACCCAAACAAAACAAACACACACCTAAAAACCTGAATGCAAAAATCTTGCATCATTATAACATTAAAGGTGATCTACACTAAAAATCAGGAAATCCCAAAAGCTGAGCTACTTCCTGAAATATTGACTTTGCCTCATTATAGATACATAATGTTTTTCTAGTGTTGTTTCCTTTGTTGAAGCATTACATGTGTGCAACATGCAAAGATTCATGGGAGAAACCTGAACTTTGTGAATTTTCTGGTTGAGTGCTTGATTTAGCAACTTTAATTTTTACACTGATACTAAGGGGGGTTCTCCCCAATCTAACTTCCCTGTCTTGTAAGGAAAAGGTTGGAACTCTCAGGTTTCTGCAGCTCACAATTTCCAAAGGCTTGACCAATGGCTTGTTCCTCAAATTCCAACTACAAAAGTGTTATAATCTCCTTAGTTGGGAAACATGGCAGGAAATGTATATTGATGTACTTGTCTCCAGCAGGGTGTATGGGGTGGTATGAGGCACAAGAGAAGCAGAGGAGGTTGTGAAAATACAGGTCTCCTGCCCAAAAATTAGACTGGCTGTGTGCAAGTCCAGGGATGAAGTTATGATGGGGCTAATTACAGGCATACAGTAAAGGTTGCCCAACACACACTCTTGTAAGACTCTACTATAGTTAAGGTTAAGAACAGCTTTCTGTTTAAAGGACTACTCTAAGTGCCCTATAATCCACATAGTTACTTGGATTGCCTTGACATCTGGGGGCAGAGAGTAGGGCTAGTGAACCAGATTTGGAGTCTGTTGTAATAATTGGAACCTAGCAGTCCTACTCCAGTTATGAGCTTATCTGGTGGAAAATGGTTAAAGATTTGTGAACTGTCACAACAAGTTGTCTCAAAATTGTTTCAAAAGAAAACTGGAAGGCTGAAGTACTTCAGATAGCAAGGGTTTACTAACAACATGCAAGGACTGTATCAAGATCATGCTTAGTAAACAAGAGGAGTATAGGACCAGAAATCAATGGACCAAAATTGGTGCTTCAGAAATTAGGCCTAATTGGCAAACAAAATAATGAGAGGATGGGCTATTCTACCCATCACTCCTTTTTGGGGCCCTTAAAAAGAGACTTGAGGGGAAAATTAGTGGACACTGACTGACTGGGAGGTGGGTGGACTGGAAGGAGCGAGCTTTACCACCATGGCTGCCACTGCCACTACTTCCTGGGATTCCAGGATACACATTTTCACCATTGGGCCTTCACTGTCCTGATTGTGGAGATATCCTGACCAGACTGGGCCAGAAAGAGGGACACAGATGACATCACCACCTCCACCAGCTTTGGCTAAATCATGAATACCACCTGGGATGGGAGACTTTGTCACCCTTTCCCTCGTGTGTCCTGTTCATTCCCCACCTTATTTCTTCTATTCCCTTTTGCCTTCTGTTTAATAAGAGACTGGCTTAGCTGGCCAAGACTGTACATTTTGTACCACCACTTAAAGCCTGCGCCCAAGGAGTTGGCTAACAGCAATGACTGAAACAGTCTGATGCTTGTAAAAGTTTACCAGGTCTCTGAGTGGCTGATCAGAGCAATGCTTTTGCTAGTGTTTCTCCAGCAATGAGCCTGCAGGTGAGAGTCACCATCAAAAAGACAGAAGCTGTTCTTTTCTTTCCCCTTTTGCATGTGTTTGTCTGGTTTTCTCGTCAAGGAAGCACGATCCGACTTTAACAACAACTCCAGCCCAGCTCAATTAACTTTTTCCCCAAAAGGAGAGTTACCACCATCTCTAATACCATCTTAGGGTATGTCTACACCCAGCCGCTAGTTCGGCGGCTGGCAATCGAAGTTCTGGGTTCGACTTATCGCGTCTTGTCTAGACGCGATAAGTCGAACCAGGAAGTGATCGCCGTCGACTGCGGTACTCCAGCTAGACGAGAGGAGTACCGCGGAGTCGACGGGGGAGCCTGCCTGCCGCGTGTAGACCGAGGTAAGTTCGAACTAAGGTACTTCGAACTTCAGCTACGTTATTCACGTAGCTGAAGTTGCGTACCTTAGTTCGATTTGGGGGTTTAGTGTAGACCAAGCCTAAGAGACTGTCAAACAGGGGTTTTTCTCCTTGTAAGGACTCTCTACAGTTAAAGGGGAAATGGAATAAAGCAGGGGTTCTCAAACTCGGGGTCTTGACCCCTCAGGGTGTCATAAGGGTTTATGTAGGGGGTTGCGAACTATCAGCCTCCACCACCAAACCCCACTTTGCCTCCAGCATTTATAATAGTGTTACATTAAAAACCCATTTTTTATATATTTATAAGGTCACACTCAGAGGTTTGCTGTGTGAAAGGCGTCACCAATACAAAAGTTTGAGAACCACTAGAATAAAGGATAGTTAAAATGAAAGCCTTACTTAATACTTTACACTTAATTGCTTTAACTGTTTTTCCTTTTTTTGTATCTTTAATAAAGTTTAAAAGCATTTTTAAAGTTGTATTTGCTATGGTACTAAACAGACCAAGGTCTCAGCATTTGGAACTCCAAATTTTGTCTGTTAATGTCGTACAGTGACAGGATCAGGTTAATACTTTTGACACTCTGGGTCCCTTTATTCTATAGAAGCTAACACAGCCGGTCATTTAATTAATGAGATACTGTGCACCCTGAACCTCCTCTCCCTCCCCCACCCCACCAGCTTTTCCTAATGTTGACAGATTCTACCAGCCTTTTTTTTTTTTTTTTGCCCAGAACTGTGGATCAAGCATGGTTTCAATCCTGCCCACAATGGTCTCAATTTCTCAACATATACTCCAGCTAGCGCATGGCATCCATTGCCCCTTGGGGAGAGCAAAACTGAACACAGTATCCACATGAGGGTTCTGTTTGGCATGTGAGCCTTAGGGTTACACTGTGCATGCACAGAGAGAGTGGCCAAGAGGCTTTCAAGCCTGCCATTTATCACTGAAACTGGCTGACCCATCCCCTGTCATCCACTCCCAGCTTCCGGCAGTCAGACGTTTGGGGACACCCAGAGCATGGGATTGCATTCCTGATCATCATTCCCTCTGAAGCATCTGGTATTAGCCACTGTCAGAAGACAGGATATTGAGATAGACGAACTATTGGTCTGACCCATAATGGCCATTCTTATGTTGTTAATGTTGCAGAGTTTCTGGCGGAAGTCAATTGTGTCCTGTGGGAAGCTGTCTGTCTGTGTGCTGAGTGGTTTGAGGGTGCTTTCCCATGGGTCCTGATATTCCTTCAGTAAGAGTGCCATAGAACTGGAAGGGACCTCGAGAGGTCATCTAGTCCAGTCTCCTGCACTCAGGGCAGGATTAAGTATTATCTAGACCAGTGTTTCCCAAACTTGGGACGCTGCTTGTGTAGGGGAAGCCCCTGGCGGGCCGGGCCGGTTTGTTTACCTGCCGCATCCACAGGTCCGGCCGATCGTGGCTCCCACTGGCCGCAGTTCGCTGCTCCAGGCCAATGGGAGCTGCTGGAAGAAGTGGCCAGTACGTCCCTCGGCCCACGCCTCTTCCAGCAGCTCCCATTGGCCTGGAGCATCGACTCGCAGCCAGTGGGAGCCGCAATCGGCTGAACCTGCGGATGTGGCCGGTAAACAAACCGGCCCGGCCCACCAGGGGCTTTCCCTACACAAGCGGCGTCCCAAGTTTGGGAAACACTGATCTAGACCATCCCTGACAGGTGTTTGTCCAATCTGCTCTTAAAAATCCCCAATGATGGAGATTCCACAACCTCCCTAGGCAATTTATTCCAATGCTTAACCACTCTGACAGTTAGGAAGTTTTTCCTACTGTCCAATCTAAACTGCTCTTGCTGCAATTTAAGCCCATTGCTTCTTGTCCTATCCTCAGAGGTTAAGAAGAACAATTTTTCTCCCTCCTCCTTGTAACAACCTTCGATGTACTTGAAAACTGTTATCATGTCCCCTCTGTCTTCTCTTCTCCAGACTAAACAAACCCAATTTTTTCAATCTTCCCTCATAGGTCCTGTTTTCTAGACCCTTAATCATTTTTGTTGCTCTTCTCTGGACTTTCTCCAATTTGTCCACATCTTTCTGGAAATGTGGCGCCCAGAACTGGACACAATACTCCAGTTGAAGCCTAATCAGCGTAGAGTAGTGCGGAAGAATTACTTTTCATGTCTTGCTTACAATACTCCTGCTAATATATCCCAGAATGATGTTTGCTTTTTTTGCAACAGCGTTACACTGTTGATTCGTATTTAGTTTGTGATCCACTATGACCCCCAGATCCCTTTCCGCAGTACTCCTTCCTAGGCAGTCATTTCCCATTTTGTATGTGTGCAACTGATTGTTCCTTCCTAAGTGGAGTACTTTGCATTTGTCCTTATTGAATTTCATCCTATTTACTTCAGACCATTTCTCCAGGTTGACCAGATCATTTTGAATTTGAATCCTATCCTCCAAAGCACTTGCAACCCCTCCCAGCTTGGTATCGTCCGCAAACTTTATAAGTGTACTCTCTATGCCATTATCTAAATTGTTGAAGATATTGAACAGAACTGGACCCAGAACCGATCCCTGCGGGACCCCACTCGTTATGCCCTTTCCA